CTTTGTGAACAAACAAGGGAACTGATCTAATACAACAAAATAGAGATGTGCTCCTTGTTTTCTTCTGCCAGTTCACTTGACTTGTGTGATTCTTTACACAGCTACGTAAATCACTCCTTGGCAGAGGATAGAAGGGCAGGTGGAAGCAGGGGAAATTAGGTGGATGGAGTGGGATGGGACTGGTTGAGCCATGCTGTTGCTGATCATGAAGGCACAGACTAAGATGATACTTTACTGACATAAAACTGCATGTTGCCCCTCTGCCATCATGGCAGCAGAGCTGTTAGAGCAGCATAGAGAATCCTACACCTTAGGTCAAACCTTTTCAACACTGAAGATAAACCATATACTGAAGTGGCACACAGGCAGATTTCAGGACATTGCTGAGCTGCAGCTCACCACTGCCATTGGGATGAGATCTTGTTTCTCTGCCATCTTTCACTCCTGGCTGCAGCTTCCTTTCTGGTGGTCATCAGAGAATTTGCATTTGTCTGGTTTTGCCCATTAGCTAAAGACAAAGGATCAAGTTACTTCATGCTTGATCAATTTTCTTCTGGGTTAGTGAGCTGAACTTGCTCATTGAGAGTGTTTTGAAAAGCAAAGCCCATGGAAGAGCAGTGGTGGAAAACCAGAATTAGGAACATGAAGAAGGTTTGGAAAGGGGGTGGGTGAGATATCCTTCCTTCAGTACCACTGAGCTGTCAGATCAACTCAGCTGTCTTGTCTTCTGATTCAGATCCATCTTCCATTTTAATGCAGGTTTTTAGCTCTAGCAGATGGATAGCGTATGTAAGCTTTATCCATATCATCTTGAACTCCTGCAGCAAGATTTAAATGTGTGAGCTGTTCCTTGCTTTCAGAGTATGAGTCAGCCAAAGGTTTGACCCATTAATCTTTCAAAAGTGAGAGGGGGGAAAAGACTGCAGCCTTTTCTGGCTGTTGCAGTCCCATTACACAAAAGGGATGCTATGGTTTTTCATGCAGATGCTTTTCCAATTGGTTTCTAATGTTGCTGTTTTCATGAGGCAAAAACTACGTTAGCAGTCAGACTTAAAAACTGAACTGGTATTCTGAAAATCCAGCCATGTTTTCAGACTCTTAATAAAAACACCAGTAAAACTGCCTCTGTAATTGGGGATGGACTGACAGGGCTATTGGCAATACATGGAGCAGAACAGAATCCACTTTAGTTGCCATGGCTATGTTTTCCTGACAAACCCACAATTTTAAAAATTACTTTTATCCAGTTAATTCAGTAGTTTTCATCTGTAGACACAGAAAAACCAATTAGTAACAATACTAAGAAACACTTTTTATAGAACAGATCCTGGTATCAGGTAATTTAGCTGTGGGGCTATCTCTGCACAGAGGTAAAATACTATGCTACCTAAGGCAGCATAGTACTGGGGCAGCACAAAGGCCAGGCCCCCTTTGTTAATGAAGGAGCTCTAAAGAGCCAGACTTAGATGCTTCACTGAGTAACAGGAGAGGCTGGAAGAAAACAGGTATTGCCTGGGCAAAATACCACTCCATGCTCCCTGTGTCAGTGGGAACAAGAAGCTTGTTATCAAGGACTCTACTCTTTGATGTCTGCCCACTAGCTCATTATTTCGTATATCCTCCATTCCCAGCACAGCACAGCCCCTTCATCTTTAAGTTGGCAAAATTAAGGGCTACCCACACAGTTAGAAACCCTGAGCTAATTCTATGACTCTTTCTTACATATCGTCTACTGCCTACTCTTGGAGACAAAAGTTCTCAGCCACCAGGAACAGCTGATTGTCAAAATCACCACTAGAAGAAGGCAGAAGGTATGTGGACTACCTGAAGCATATCAAGGAAGAAAGACACCAGGGGAGATGTCTTGCTAGACCTGCCACAAACAAAAGTGAGCTGGTCAAAGATGAGGCTGCAGCAAATACAAGATTGTAGAGCCGAAAATCTTGAGAGACATTAGCAGTGCAAATATTAGAATCACAACCCTGGACTTCAGGAAAGTAGATTTTGGCCTACTTGGGAATCTTTTTGGCAGGATCCAATTGCTATGGGGCTCAGGGCAGGTGGTTGATCTTCAAGGAGAAGCTCCTCTAAGAAATTAAAGAGCAGTCCATTCCAATATGCAGAAAACCAAGCAAGTGAGGCAGGAGACCAGTGGGGATATATTAGGAATTCCCAGCTGAACTCCAACACGACAAGGAAGTGTATGAAAAGTGGAAGCACAGATGGACTGCCCAAGAAGAATACAGAGACATTGCTTCAGTGTGTAGGGCTGGTGTTAGGAAAGCCAAAGCTCATCTGGGAGATGAAACCAGAGAGGCAAAAGTTGTCAGGAAAGGCCTCTATAGGTACAGTGGCAGCAAAAGGAAGGCTGAGGAACATATGGATCTGCTGCTCCATGGAGCAGGGGCAGACACAGTCACAAAGGACATGGAAAATGCAAAGGACACAAATTGAAGCATGTGAATTTCTGATTAATTACAACTTTAAAAAATGATTACCATGAGGGTAATTAAACACTGAACACAGAAGACCACAGTGGTTGCAAAATATCTTGTGTTGAAGGAATTCATAACTGGACTCAGTTAGGCCTTGAGGAACTGGCTTTAACCAGCAGGGGTTAGAGATGATGAGCTTTGGAGGTTCCTTCTAACCTCCAGGATCCCATGATTCTGTGAAGAAGCTTATCTGGTAGAGAATGAATGAAAAGTGTGAGACTGATTTACTTTCAACCCATATATATATAAAGGTATTTCAATGTCCCTGAATGATCCAGAAATATTGTGGTATGTATTAAAAAAACAACAATCCAAAATCAGACTATCTATTAAGACCCCATGTCTTCGATGCATTGCAGAGTTTTTTTTGACATTTGTTATTGCAATCCTGTGAGAACCCATATTTGGCAGAGTCTTTCCATTTATATTAAATCCAGCCTTCCAAGTACCCACCATCTGTTTTTAAGTACCATTAAATCACTACTTAAAACTGACTGCAAATTAAAAAAAAAATATATATTGTTCTCCTGTTTTCCTCTACATATTATATCAAGGGCCCTATTACTTCTTAGTTAATATGTGTATGGTATTTATGTATTATATGGTATTATACTAATTAAACAAATAATGAACTATAATATATTTTTTCCTAGTACCCTTCTGGGATACAAGAAGTGCTTCTCCCATAGCACTGTTGAGAAACTGAGGCAGAGAAAAGCATGGAGGCTATCCAAAAACAATCTCAGCAGAGCACAAATTGAAACAAATTCCCTGAACTTTCAAGCTTGTGTTTAACCACACAACTAATTCTTTAAATAGAAGCTAGATGAAATGTACTATGACATTTGGAAACTGGGTTCTCCTGGTACACCAGTCTTTCATGTCTTTCGAGAAAGTGCAAGAAAAGCAAGTGGTTTAGACTAAAAAGTGTCTACAGAGGGAAGCAGAGCTATCACCTCGAGGAGGAAGTTCCCCAGCACCTAGAAGATAGGAGAAGGCACAGACCTGCCAGGACAAAGCTGTTTATATAAGGGAGATGAACTGATTGATTCTGGGAGTGGGTGGGGAACCACACTGCATAATGGCCATGAAGCACAGGCTAGCTGAGGCTTCCACTTTCCTCATGAGCTGGTGAAATGTGGTGGACTTGAACGTGCAGCTCAGCTGGCACGTCTGGAGATGTCAGCTAACAGCTGCAGGACAAAGGGGAGCGCTCTTCTCCCCAGTAGTTCAAGGGCTACAGGGAGAAGTTAAAAATTCTCTCTGCTGAAAACTTTGTGCCTGCCCTTCTTTCAAAAAATTTGCAGCACAGTCGTGATTTAGTCTTAATTACAAGACACCAGTCTAAAAGAATCCTGTTGTACTCTAGAAACAAGCCTGTATATTTTCCCACAAACACTTCTAACAAAACCTCAATTTTACAGCACAGACCTACACAGGGTTTTTACCTGTAAACTTACCACCTTTTGCTATATGTTGTGCAATGCCTCATTGGAGCCTACAGTCCTGCAGAACTGTTTATTGCTAAAAACACTATAGTACACACAGCATTTGAAGTATATCTCTTCCTCTTTATCTCTGAAGTTCCTGCGAGATTAAATTTTATATACAAGGCACGGCTCACTTCTGTCACTGCCCTCAAAGCTTTTTTTGAGACTGGAATGTTTCCCTCAGGGAGAAAAGACTTGTTTCTGCCTCTACAAGTATAGCAGATAAGATGATGTGCCTGTGGGCAGATTACTTTCCCCCTTTGTTAGAAGTTGTGTGGATTTTGTTTTTTCTTCATAATTATTATGCTCTGGGACCTGTGGTTTGCGAATAAATAAATTAACAAACAAAAACCTGCAAGTGCAGTTATTTAATTTATAGCTGCAGAAGGAGCTTGCCGGGGAGTACAGAAGTAGGAAGCAGAGAAGAGCCTTTCTCTCTTATCCGGAAACACTATTCGCAGGCTGAACGACTTTTGTGGGTTAAGAGAACACCAAAACAAAACAAACCAGAAAAAACCAACAAAACAACAACAACAACAAAACCACACCAAACCAAAAAGCCCGACCCAAGAGACCCTTTGGGCACAAGGGAAGTTGGTGAGAGAGGCAGAGCGGTGGGTATCACCCGCGGCGCACGGGGCTGTTTGTTTCTCCGCCACACGCGTGCTCGGGCTACAGGCAGCGCCGGCCAAGCGCCACCACGCCGCGACCACGCGGGCTCATTCGGCTCAGCCCCCAAGACGAGCGGGGTCCCTGCGGCCCGCTGAGCCCCGCAGGCGGCGGCGGGCGCTTTCCCAGCGGCGGCAAAGGCGCTTTCCCGGCGGCGGGAAAGGCGCTTTCCCGGCGGCGGGCGGTTTCCCGGCGGCGGGAAAGGCGCTTTCCCGGCGGCGGGGCGCTTTCCCGGCGGCGGGAAAGGCGCCGCTCCGCCGGCCCGGGGGCTCCAGCCCGGGCAGCGCGGCCGCTTTACGGCACAGCCGTTCGAACCTCCGCGTCCGCGCTTTGCGGCTGCGTGGCGGTGGGTGGGGGGCGGGGAAGATGTCTGAGCGGGGAGAAGCCCCGGCGGCGGCACCGGCGGGAGAGATGCCGGCGAAGAAGCAGAAGCTGAGCAGCGACGAGAACAGTAACCCCGGGGACATGTCCGGCGACGAGAACGTGAGGCCGGGCGAGGGGCAGGCGGCGCGGGCGGGGGGCTGGCGCGGCGGGAGCGCGCGCGGCGGCGCGGGGCCTCGCGGCGGGGGCGGGCGGGAGCGCGCGGGAGGAGGAGGGGCCGCCCCGGGCCGCCGTGAGGGGACATCGCCCTCCGGGACCCCCCGGGTGGCTCCCGGGCCGGGGAGGGCGTGAGGGAGGAGAGGGAGAAGGGGTCTCGGCCCAGCCGTCCCGGCTCGGTGGCCGCCGGAGGGAGGCCCCGGTGGGAGAGACCGGGCAGGGTCTGGGGGAGAGGCGCCCGCTGTGCTTCCACGTGGGTGAAAGTGGATTTGCGGCCCAAGCTGTGAGCGGGCGCTGTCTCGAGCTCTGCTTCCAAACGTCACACTCTTTTTTAAAATTTTCCCTGCAAACCAGCAGCATTTTCCATCTTTCTTGTAGTTTTGTATCGTGTGTCTTCACTGTCACGTTGTAGAGTAACATGCAGCACGAGTTTATGTGTGCAGCCTTTTGGTGAATGAAAAGTAGGAGATGGTGCTCATAAACTACTGTCAGCAGAAGGCAGCGGGGATGGCGTCTATAATCTCTAAGTTAGGTGAAATTCTAGTGTTCAGAGCAAAGGTAATGTGATTGATGTAGAATAACTTTATACCTGAAAGGTAAACTTAATCTAAGGTATCGACCAGTCACTTTATGTAGTTACTGGTGTGGAGAGGGGTTGTGTAGTTACTCTGTGTGTTTTATAATGTGTAGAAGTTTCTTTTCTGCACTTATCCAGCTAGTGAGGGAACTGGACTAAATCCTCCACAACGTTTGGAAGTGGTGCTTGTGAGGTGACAGGCAAGTTTGAGATGTTCCACACCGCTGCTCTTGTTTTTTTTTTTTTTTTTCATAGCTTAGCAGCATTTGTGGATCCAAATGTAATTTGGTGACATATGTTCAGGCTTAATTTGTTGTCAGTTGTAGGCTATCATTGAGTGTGGAATAGGTTGCCCCATCTCTGGAGGTGTTTAAGGCCAGGCTGGATGTGGCTCTGCACAGCTTGGTCTAGTGAAAGGTGTCCCTGCCTGTGGCAGTGGGCTGGACTAGATGATCTTTAAGGTGCCTTCCAATAGAAATCACTCTGATTATATGATTCTCTGATTCTCTTATGTGGGTTGCCTCAGTGGTGAAGGGATTCTTTTTCCAAGAGTTTGTTACTGGACTCCACAACTCCTGCAAGATGGGGGATTCGGTTTAAAAGTTGACATAGTTGTGTTGATTTGGAGAAAGGGTGTGTTTTGCTCCACAGGTGTCCCGCATGCAGGTTTGTTGGTTATGTGGTAGTTGCAGATACATGGTATAGCTGCACCACACCAGCTGCTTGGTATTCTCACGTTGGCGGTATCTGTCTAGTCCAGAGAAAACTTCAGTCTTGTCAAGTATTAAAATTCTGACATGTGCACTTGGGAGATGAGAGTTGGGCAAGCTCTGATTTTTTTTTTTTAGGGTAAAGGAGAAGAAACAGGAAAACTTAAAAAATGTTAAATTTGGTTATGAATATTAGTGGAGGGTTGGCTCTTTTAGGGGTCCAATGTGAAGGGAATTACTCCAGATTTGGGCAGTACACTTACGGGCTTTTGTGGTATCTTTCCTCCTTTTGTCCTCTGAATGTCCTGTTTTTCAGAGTTGTTGGACAAACAAAGGCTAGTACACCTCTTCAGGCTCCTGATAATACAGACATGAAACTGGGACAGAGAATGAATGCTTGGTGGGAATTGGTGTATTAATGTTTATAGTTGACCTCATTCCATATTCCTAGTGGAGTTCCTAGCGCAGCTTTGTGAATCTCCTACAGTGACAGGCTGTTCTCTGCCTCTGTCTCCCTTAGTTCAGCTCTAGAAATTACTTAGTCTAGCATGAGATGTTTTCCCCCCACTAGTCTGATGGAAAGTGAACTATCTTGCCAGAAAAAATGGGAAAAGTTGATTTTTAACAAGCTGAACGTACTCATTTGGAAACACAGGGTTGGCAGGTACAATGCAGATGAAGGTACTGTGCTCTGTGACGGGTGATACAGGGAAATGTCCTTTTAAACAGTGCCCTGCAGTCAGACCACACAGGAAATTGTAGTTTCTGCTGATTATCCAAAGCCAATTTAAAATCTCTCAGCAGCTAGATGGGGTGTTTTGTGTATTTGTGTTTTTTCAGTTTTCACCATTCTTATCTTACACTAATGGTTGGAGGGCAAATTGGATTAGTTAGCTGATCAGAATTTAGCTTTTAGTGGAAACAAGTGAGTATCTGTGGTACAGGGGGGAGAGGAGGAACTTTGTCTTCTGATGTTGATGCTGCCCCGCTGCAGAACCGTGCTGTGAGTGGTGCTGCTGAGAGTGCACAGAAGCCTCAGAATGGCTCGGTTCTTGGTAAGGTCAAGCCTCATGTTTTTTAAAAAACAACTATTCTTCAGTTCTTCAGAAGTACTCATTTCATCTGGATCAAAGATGTTTTCTAGGGGAAGCAGCTGCTTTATCTCTAGACATTTTCTTAAGAGCAGCTACCAGTATTCTGAAGAAACGTCACTAGATCACAGTTCATAGCTCTCCCTCTTGGATTAGTCCTCATGTGATTCATGTTCTGTTTCTAGAGAGGAATGCTATTATGCTGGCATTAGATTTAAATACATGAATCTAAATAACACCAAGGCCTGAGAGATCTGTTTGTATGAATGACAAGAAGAAGTGAAAAGGCCAAGTGCTGCAAGATTAGTTGAATTTATGCAGCAATTATGATCTCTTTGTGACAGTCTATATAATTTTGGATGTTTTCAGGATGATGCTGTTAGTATTGAAAGTGGTACTAACACTGAACGCCCTGATACGCCAACAAACACTCCTAATGCACCAGGAAGAAAAAGCTGGGGGAAAGGAAAATGGAAGTCGAAGAAGTGCAAATATTCCTTCAAATGTGTAAATAGTCTAAAGGTAGGTATGCATGAGCTTCAGGGAATGCTTGGGCATCACTTACTGGCAGCAGTGTTAATGTTGGCTGTGAGACAGCGTCAAGCTAGAGACTTTTAAATATCTTTAAGCACTTATGTTCCATGCTGATTTGAAGCAGGTACCTTTCTTTCTTGGAATAGCGAAAGTTTTGAAGAAAAAAGATACTGAGAAATAGGAAACAGTAGATAGTGCTGAAGTTAACCTTGTTTTTGTACAGTTTGCAAAGTTTTGTGTGATGCTGTGATTATATATTTCATTGAAGCTGTAGATGATAAATATAAGAAGTTGGATAAACAAGTTGAACTAGAACAAAACCTGTGACAACTCCATGCAAAACACAGAACCTGCTCAGATTTCTCTGTGCTGATAAAAAACCCAAACAAATCAACCCAACAATCTTAAGAGTAGCTTTTTCCTCACACTTAACCAGATTAGGTATTTTCTGTGCTCTGGCAGTATCATAGCTACTTGTGCAGTGCAATTTGGTTAATTTATTGTGAGTGTTGGGATCATGTGTTAGCACCTGATTCAGGCAGTGTGTATCTTCCTGTGTAACACCTGATGGTTTTAAGATATGTGGATTGATGGTCTTTATTGCTTGTTCTGCTCTTTTAGCATAGTGCTGTTTTCTTCCGCACTGGTGACAGACTATGGTGGACTGAATGAGTTTTCTCATTCGTGACTATTTTACTCTGTCAGGATGTTCTTATTTTCCTGATTCCTCAGCCTCATGTGGGATATTTATGTGGCAAGATGGGAGTTATGGCAAACTCTGTGAGGATCTGTGTAGCTCAGCAGTGGATATTTTCTGCAGAATTGCTCTAAGAGTATTTTTTCATTCCCCTATGCTTAATTGGGGAGCTGTGGTGATGTGGCTCCTTTTCTGAGCTTTGTCTTCAGGCTGCCGTAGTGAAACACTGGGGTACTTGAGCGGGAGGGGATGAAAGGTTTGGAGCGTGGAAACCTTCTAAATGAGTTTTGCCACTGGAGAAACTGTGATACGAAGTTACACTGACAAAAGTATCTGGGAAACAAATTGATCTTATTGTGTTCTTGAAGTATAAAAATTGCCTCCAGACTTTTGAGGGTGTAGGAGGAAGGGAAGTTATTTCATTTCACCAAGGTAGGCAGCAGTTCCTGTGATTCGCGTGAATCGCCCCCACGGATGGTGCTATTTGTGGCTTCAAGTCATACTTCAAACACAGACATGGGCCTTTGGACACCCAAAACAAGTTCTGAGCTTTGTTACTCGTACTTGTTTTCTGTCTGCAGACAAAGATGGTTAGTACTTCCCAAGTGTCTTCTGGGGAAACAAAACATTCCCTCACCCCAGTGTCAATCCAGACCCCACTGTAGGGTGATCCAAAAGACCAAGCTGTGAAACTAAGCAATCCCCGACTTCCTTGGATTTGGATCAGGATCTGGGAACAGATTCCTGTGCAAGTGGAATCAAGCTATGAGGGAGTAAATGTAGCATTTCAACTAAGTGGGGTATTTTTATTAGCTTTTCTCCCCATTTCTCTTTGGTCTGAAATCAATGGTAGTAATAAGAGATGTGCATGTTAAGACAAAGACCTAAGTAGCAGCCAAATTTGGTTATTTACTTCATGATTGAGGAAGCCTCTCTTCTTTTCCTTTTCCCAGTCTTCCATACTAACTTTGCAGGTACTCTGGAGAAAACTGTAATGATTGAATGTTGTATATAGGTTTAGAAAGACACTTGTGACTCTTTGAGTACTGTGTCATATATCTCCTAGTTTATATGTTTTTGAACTATGCTGTAAGATGCAGGTATTGAAGTTAATGAAGGATCTACATGATTTAAAGATCATAGAAATTAATGTTCTTTAGGTGTGTATAAATTACATGTTTTTCCACTTTTGCACTTTTGGTTTTCCCCTCTTATTTTGTTTTTTAGTTTTTTCTTTGGGGAAACAAATATAGCCATTACTGTCTGCTTTGAGTGTTAAATGATTATGACTCAGCCTGAAAAGCTCAGTGCTTGCTAAATACGCGTTTTAAACACTACTTTGGGAGTTATTTTGAATGAAATTTAAGCATCGGGAAAACAAAAATACAACTTGGAAAATGTCAGGAAATAAAAAAACCTGCCTTTATTCTTTATGGAGTAGTATGTTACTTATGAGATGTACTGAAAAATCTTTGCTTTCTGTGGGCTGAATGGAAATAGGGTTTATAAATGAGCATATACAGCTAGCACTGTTGCATATCCTTATCTATCTATATATATTTTGCTGATAAGTCTTTTGGCAGAAAACAGTGTATATTTTGCTTTGTTGTGCTGCCTTTAAAGCAATGCAATTATTTTCCCTACCTTTTACTTCTGCTTAAGGTGTGTGATTAAGATGTAAGCAGCTTGGTGTTGTCTCAGCTTCTATTTGTTGTCCCCTGACCTGGGAACCAGCATCCAATACCACGCAGAATTCTAGCTTGTTGGTGTGTAATGGAAACTAAATGTAACTAAACCCGCTGCCCACAATGGCTTACTTCCACTTCTGGGAACTGGAAATGCATGTGTGGGTTGTTGGTTCCCCACTGGCAGTGTGGGTGACAAAGATTTAAAGGCATTCATGCAGGTGATTATTTTTGCCATCGTAATGACTTCACTGTCTAAAACCAGGTCTGATCTTACTTTTGATTGAAACCAAGTTGGTGTTGAGTGAGTAAGGCTGGAACTCACCACTGATTGTTTATTTATTTGCTTTTGTAGCATTAGGTCTGTTTTCTTGTCTTCCTTCTTTCTCTAGTACCCAAAGAAGCTGGGTGCTTTGGGTTTCATGCCCTTTATTCATAGCAGGGACGAGATGGCATTTCACAATTTTACTTTTGGACGGGTATCTGGGTCACTTTTGTCTGTACAAACCAGTGTCAGATTTGTGTCACATACTTGGCATCTGAGCATAACCATCATGTACGACACCTAGAATAAAATGTTTTGGAAAACCTCCATTGTTTAGCATTTGGGACAAAAATTAGAGCAGACAAGTATTTTCAAAATAGCTATGTGCTGTCTGACCACTGGGTATGTTGGGAGTTTAAATAGGAGCAGAGCTTCTGCAAATACCTTGGTATCTTCCTGCAAGAGCCTTCCCTCCGCCTGGCTGCTTCATCCATCAAACAGCAGCAAAACTGCAATATATACAAGCAGGCTCCTGGAGATTGTAGCACTTGGTGTGAGAAATATAGTGTGGGTGAAGTAAGTAGACTAAAGACATTTGTCTCGCAGAGTAATTTTTTCCAGGGAAATAGGTTTTCTTTGAAAAAGCTTGCAAAATGCTTTAGGTATGTACTCAAATATAAAAATATGGAAACAGTATAGCACTCTGTTATATATGTCTACTTATTACCTTAGTCTGGGTCCTACCTAAAAAATCAGGAATTTATTGCAACTTATTCTGGAAAAATATCCTCTCTTGAGGACGAAAAACATACTGCTTTTAACTTTCCATATTTTATTAAATTTATCAGAAACAGGACATAAACAGAGAACAAGGTTGTTCCAGAAAAACAAATAGAAAACCTTTATTATCTCTGTAATAAAGCAGTGGGAACCCATGCATTTTACCTATATTATCTTCATGTGATATGTTAGAAACACTCACTATTCAGCAGCAGGAACTCCTTCAAGCAGAAATTTGAAACCAAGTTATTATTAGTGGAAAAACTTTATTAAGCATTTTCAATTTGATCTCTTAGCCATTCTCTTCAAACAAGACTTGAATACACTCAAAATTTGAGGCTACCAAGTCAAATTAATAAATTCATTGCTAAAAAATAAAATTAATAAATGTATTGCACATAAAAAATCATGGCCATGTGTATGCAATTTTATGGCTTATGGTTTTCCTCATTCTTCATTTCTAGTTCAGCTTTATAGATACTTTACAGATACAGAATACCTGTTTTTTCCTTTTGTCCTGGGATTACTAAGAACCCTGCTACCTTTTCCTTTCTTAATATCCTATGCCTCTCATCTCATAAAGCCATTAGTTTGTGTTTTTGTGTTATGATGACTAATACTTTGAGTTAAGCTTTGAACAATTCTTTTAATCTGTATTGAGCTTTGAAAGTTGTTACCTCTCTTAAGAATTGCAAGAGGGCCTTCATCTCTGAAAGATTTTCTGTTGTCTGTTTCTAGCTCTTCTAGTTATTTCTGTTCGTAACAGATACTGCCTTTCTCAGTAAATAATGGTATTTACAATTTTTTCCGGACTTCCTTTACTTTTCTTTTTCTGAGGAGTGTTAGACTCCCTACTCACACCCCCTCCTCGAATTTATTCTTTGGTTTTGGATAGGCCAAAGCTGCCAGGGCTGGTACTTCTTGTGTTGTCTCTGAAGTGCTGCCATTTGAAGGCTGCTGAACAGCCATCATGAGACACTTCCTTCCTGCCTGCACTGTCCCAGACAGTCCCCTGTGGGGAGGCACTTTAATGAACATTATTCTTGCTGAAAACATCCTGTCAGAACAGGCCAAAATACTGTTATCAATTATTAACAAGCACCACCATATTCATCACAATTCATAAACATACCTCCTTTTTTTTTTCTCTCAAACTGTTGTAAGTTGTATAAAAATAATACTTGGCATTTCTTTGGTAACTATTTGTAAAGGCGATCTGAAAACAGTTTGTAGACATGAACTTTGTAACAGTATTGTGACACACTTGAGAGAATTCCTTGTGTCTGTGACAAAAGTTACAAGACTTGACTGTAATGCAATGGTTAAATGCGGCCCTTCTCCATCCTTATACCAATATAATTCTTCTTTTTCCTAGTATTTCTTCCCTGTGAAGTTGCAAATCCTTGTGTATAAGTAATTAGGATAGAAAATGTGTATAGATATGACCTCAGATGCAGAAGTTGCCTTACTGAAAATTGTAAAACAAAATACTGGAGCAGCAAATACAACTTGGGAGTTCTGCCAGCTTCTAAGCATAACTGAGACAACATTTCTTTCCATTTACTTTTTGAAAGGTTGGTGGGGAAAGAAAAGGGAGGGGTGTGTTTTTTGAGAATATTCCTTTAACCTCCCTTTAAGACAGCCAAGTTAAAATGTGGTGTTTCAAAATTATGACTCTTAACTGTTCACTGTCTAAAATTATACTGACTGTGAACCCATTAGTTTGAGGAGGGAAACTTGTCAATGAAACTGTTGAATTTCACAGCAATGATATGCCTAAGGGTTTTGTTGGATTTTTTTATCTCTGAACTTACTTTACACCTATAGGAGGACCATGGCCAGCCTCTGTTTGGAGTCCAGTTTAACTGGCACAGTAAAGAAGGTGATCCTCTTGTTTTTGCCACTGTAGGCAGCAACAGAGTGAGTAATCTGTTTTTCATCATATGCCCTTCTGTGTGGTTCTGCATGCATTCCTGTTTTCAAGCAATCCCTTTACTTGTGTTTGGTATGGACATGCAATACTTAATATAAACAGACGTATTTCTAAGATATGTAGTATCTTTTATCTGGGAGAGCTGCATCCTTTGGATTGTTCTATGAAGTTGTGTTAGCTATTTGGTAGTTAAGCTATGTAGTAAAGGAAAAAGTCCTACTGCAATATGCACAGGGGATAAGGAAGAGGTTCATAAATGTATCTTCTCAATAAAATTACTCCTCATAAATGTTATTATTTTCTAAAGGTCATGTATTCATATATACAGGATGAGAACTGTCTGCAACAGTGGCTGGCTGATGCCAGCCAGCTCAGTAGCTAAATTAATGGCCTGTGTTGAGTGAATTTATAGATTTCCTCTGAACAATGTTCAGTGTCATTTCAGTCTTGAGATTAACCCCTGAGAAGTGTGTTTTACGTAAGTGTTTTGAATAAATGAGAAGTGTTTCATTTCTAGGTTTGTTCTGCCTGGCAAGTCACCAGAAACACTGAAGTAAATTTAAGCAAGGTTTCATTGAGTTGTTAAACTAAGTTTAAGCAAGGTATCAATGACTCACTACAAGACCAAGTTATGTTAGAGATAACTGCAGTAATTAATTCCAACAAGGCTTTATCTTATTAGGGCAATTCAAATAATGGACTTTAATATCTGGGAAGGACAGCTGACAAGTCCTGGAATGATGCTTTACAGAAGCTGCTGTGGGCATTCTTTTATCAAACCATTTCTACCTGGTAAACAAATGGATGATGGATGAAATCTAAACCATAGAGGCACTCTACCTCTCCCCATCAGGCAGTCAATAAGTGGATGCATGTGATTTCCTTTTGAAATGTCACAGCTAAGCAGCAGTCTCTCTCATTTACTTATTTTTTTCCCTCCAGGTTACTTTATATGAATGTCATTCCCAAGGAGAAATCCGTCTGTTGCAGTCTTATGTGGATGCTGATGTATCCTTTTAGGTTAAATACCCACATGTTTGCTTCTTCTTTATGAAAAATCAAGAGGCTTTGTAGGAAAAAGCATGGAAATGTTTTGTCTGTGATTTAATACTTTACTCATGTGGTGCATTCTTTATGTAAGGTCCAAGTCTTGCCTCTTTCCCACATCCTAGAATCCCTCCTGCTGAAAATATGTTAAAAACGCAGACTCGGGGACCAGACTGTATTTAAAATACTTGAAACCTGATTCTCCATCAGTTTAATCTTCCCAACACTAATATTTGTATAATGTTTCCCTGCTTTACAGTGGTCTCAGTTACTCTGTGAATTGGACCTGGGTTTAAAGACTAAGAATATTTTTGTTGATTGTTTGCAATACACGTCATTAGCTTGTGAACTCGGTTGTGATTCATTATTCCCGATCAAAGGTGATGCCATGAAAGACAAGGTGTTCTTTTACGTTATGGAACAGAAGTTAGGAAATCAACATCTGTAGAAATGGTGATGTTGCTGGTATTTGCAGGTGTATAATTAAATGTGTGTATTTTTCTTATGGGCTCCCGCAGAAACTCCAGCACTTGGATAAAATAGCAACAGGTTTGTTTAAAATAAAATATTGTTTTAAAAAATAAAAAAAAAATGTCCTGCTTATTCTGTGATCCTTAACTTGAGGCATTGTAGGCAGATGAAAATTTCTATACCTGTGCATGGACATATGACAGCAATACAAGCCATCCTCTTCTGGCTGTGGCAGGATCCAGGGGTATTATTAGGATAATTAATCCCATTACAATGCAGTGCATAAAGGTGAGTGTTCAAAACTTTGAGATACAGCTTGTGCTTCAGTAAGGCACGACACCTTTTTCTTCTAAGTACATGTAAACGTGAGGGGAAATGGTAACTTGGTCTCTGAATTCTATCCCAGCACTACGTGGGCCATGGAAATGCAATCAATGAACTGAAATTCCATCCAAGAGATCCAAATCTTCTTTTATCTGTAAGCAAAGGTAAGAAAAAACCTCTTTTTTTGTATAAATGAGGATACTTTGGATTGGAGTTTGGTCTTGAATATGACCAAAAACCTTAATGATTTTTTTTTTTTTATGAATGGCACTGAACAAGTTTACTTTTAAAGTTGAGAGCAAATTATGCTTTTACATGGCTATATATTTTATACTTAGTAAATCCATGGCCTACAACTGTAACTCTAGCTATGGTGCCAAGGGATTGTGAATAGTGCTGCTTTTTAGGAAAGAAGAATCCTGAGCCTTGGGTTTGCTCTTTACTTTCTGACAGTTGAAATTTTTTCAGTTGTTGAATCACGTTGCCATCTAGTGGGGACCTCTTAACGTTGCAGACAGCATTCACCATCCCGTTCATGGGGAAAAACTTTGGTTTTTTTTTTGTTTGGGACTTTCATTTGGCTTTTTTTTAAAAGGCATTTTGTTAAGGGAGTTTTTTGTTTTGTTTTTTTTTGGGTTTTTCCGGAAGTTTTGACCGTTCTGGCTTTGTTGTTTTTGCTTTTTTTTTTAATTAGGGGATTGTTTTGCCCCAGGTTGTTAGCCTGCAGGAATTTTTGAGTTGGAAACATTCACTTAAGGGGACTTTTGACTTTAGCTTATTTGAACTTACCAGTGAAGCTACATGAGAAGAGGAGTTGGGAAGCTCTCTAATGCTTGCAGTGGTTAAGTTGGTTCTGTAAACATCCAGTTTCTGTATATAATTTTTAGGTTCTCTTTGTAATAATGTTTTGACATCAGCCATAGTCTTACAAGTTTTAATGTGCGATCTCTGGACCAGGCGCTATCGCTGAGAAGACATGAGAATATTTGGGCTGTTAGAACTGCTTGGCTGAGAGATTATTAAAAAAAGAGGAAAATATTTGGGACTGCGTGGCCACCTGTTTCCCTTCTGGGATTTTGAGTGTTGCTGTAATTCAATGCAATGTACTTGTGGAATCCAAAAGGGAAATACACTAGAGGCTCCCACTTCCAAACGGGAGATACACTAGAGGTTCTTCATTAGAAATTGTTATAACTTTCTTAAAATAAATGAATTAGTCTGATTGACTTTGGAATACATATTGTTTATGTAAACAGTTTTTCCCTTCCTTACTGACTGTGGTTCACCAAGATAATGTTCTAAAGGCTAAAGAATGGAAAATCACTGCTTTTCTGAATGTTGATATTAAAATGGCAGAAAGGAATTCTAGCATTTTTTGATACATAAAATTGTTTTTATGACTGATTAATAGCATATTTATCTGATGTCAGACTTTTCTTTGCTTTTTGGATGAACTAAAGATCCAAGCGTGTTTTTGCTAGAAACTATCCTTAGGGTAGGGGGTGGGCAACTATAGAATTACTTTTAACAGTAAGTTAGTTATAAGAGCAATTTCAGTTAATGCAGTTCTGTTGTTTCCAAAAAAAAAAAAAAAAGAATAATTAAGTGCTTTTTTGATGTTGACATAAAGACATGTTACTCAAAGTGATTAAGCTGAATATATTATTCAAATGTGCATATAAAAAGCAGCATGTAATTCTATTTGTTCTTTATAGATCATGCATTGAGACTGTGGAACATCCAGACAGACACGCTGGTTGCAATATTTGGAGGAGTAGAAGGGCACAGGGATGAGGTGTTAAGTGCAGTAAGTGGAAGACCGTGGGGCAGTGATTTAGATTTACAAAGGGTAGCAGGCAACTTTTTATCCTCCTGTGCATTGTTTAGGTATTATAGCTACTTAAAAATAACCACCTGGAAGTGCATAAATACTGTTTTAAGGGGATAGACACCTTTAAATGTCAGGTGGTTTGATTGATGTGGCCACTTCTTACAGACAGGATCTGTGTGTTTCAGTAGCTGGTTTACTCTGAGTGCAGCCTAGAAGTGAACAAAATAGGGCTCAGTGGCTCTAGAAAGAGTAAAATATTTCATGATGGTCCCACTTTCGCAGTTCTTGAGTTCTCATCAAGTGAAAGCAGCATAAGCAAATAAACATGGAGAGACATGGTAGTGAAGGAAAGAAGTTTGAGTTAAATTATTTTTCAGTGGCTGTGAACAGACACTGGTACCCAGCAAACATCAAGCAGAATAATTAACTTTTTATGTGCTTTTCTTAAGAACTCTTTTCATTCCTGTTGTGTGACCTGTTGTGAAAGGTGAGGGGTGCATCTTTAGGAAACCTGACACTATTGTTCACCCATGTCATAGTCCTGGAATTCTGCCAGAGTTGCTCCTAGGGAACTTAGTGAAGGAGGAGAACTAGCTGTAGATTCACTGTCTGTCAGTGCATTTGAATATGTCTCTCTTGAGAGAGACTAAATATAATTACTAAGATGCTGTGCTGCTTTGCAGTGAGCTGGATTATATTTTTAGTGTTTTTCTATTTGAAATATTCAGTTTTATTGCATGCTTTGTGCATAAAATGCTGTTTTGATGGAAATGATGGAATAAAATCTGAGTTGATATAATGCAGCCTAGGGTGGGAGTGCTCAAAATTATTTTATATACATAGGATTATGATCTTCTTGGTGAAAAAATCATGTCCTGTGGGATGGATCACTCTCTAAAACTCTGGAGAATTAATTCCAAGAGAATGATTAATGCTATCAAAGAGTCTTATGAGTACAACCCAAACAAAACCAACAGGTATGTAGTCTTCATCTCCTTGTCTGTCTTTACAGCATGTGAATACTATCAATGGTCCAGGTTAATTCCTTTCCGTATTGGGAGTTTTTGGGTAGTGATGTGGATGTTGAGTCTCACTAGACTGTGTGTCGTCTTCTTGTTTGCTTCACTGGAATTTTATTGAATTCTGATTCAAAGTCCTGAAATTTTTATTTTCAAGTATCTCAATTATTTCTTATTTGCTAGACTAGATTATTATCTTAAAGCTTGTATTTCATGCATTTTAAGATGTCAGTATCTTATTTTCATATCTTCTCATCTCAGGATTTCTAGAATGGAATAAAATATATGTAATTAAATGTGTCAGATAATCTTATATTGAGTAGTTAATTATTGTGTATTATTTTACTTTGGGGTGGGGAAAAACTGCATAGTAATAACTTTAAATTTTTATTATTCTCTGGTTTGACCTCAGATATGAGTAAATTATTAAGTAAACATAGCAATTAGATACATGATAGATAAATCCTCCTTTATGAAGTTCTTCAACTTTTTGATCTTAACTTCCAGTTAAACCATTGAGAGAATTGAAGAGTCTAAAACACAGTGAACATGTTCAGCAATGAGACTAGCTGTGAAAATACTCTGGCTTTTTTTGGTAATGTTACCAAATATTAAATGATGCTTTTTAGCCTGCTTTTTTTAAAATGATGATTTTTTTTTTTTTTAAGTATGCATTTCTATTTAACAATTTAGATGTTGCAGAAGCAGCATCAGGAAGACTGAGCTTTAAGTAGTTCTTGAAGTATTTGGTGACAGGCATTGTATTCAGCATCTGAAGGATAGTTTTACTCAGCACTATCTCTGCACAGTCTTTTACATGGGAAACTTAGTTATTTCATTAGGAATGAGGATGAAAACAAGGACTATTACTATTAAAAAGAAAAACAAGCTGCATACAGAATCTACTTTAAGACTGTTAAAAAGTTGGGCTTGTTCTTTTAACATTGAAATATGTTAAGACTGGTTATTAAAAATTACACTTGTGCTTCTGGGTTTGTATTTATGAACCTCACTTGGCAATTTTCTCCATAGGCCTTTTGTTTCCCAGAAAATTCACTTTCCTGACTTTTCTACAAGAGACATACATAGAAACTATGTTGACTGTGTGCGGTGGCTGGGAGACCTAATTCTTTCCAAGGTAATGCTGCAGCTTTTTCAGCTACATAACATTTATTTGCTGGTCCTGAGGGTTCTAAACCTTAGAAATTTTATTAGCGTGTGGGTCTTGGGTTAAATTATTGTCTTGTGTCAAATGGTTTTGTAGAGTGTTTTGGGAATTCTGTCACCTGTGAGGATGTGTGGGTAAGCAACTTATACTTAAAAAGCAAAATTATTCCTATAGCTGTACTCTGCTACAAGTAAAGGGTTTCTAGCTAACCAGAATCTGCACAGAACATATGGAAAGGGAATCTTTAGATACTATTTAGTGATCCTGCTAAAGAGTGAGATGAGGTCTGCCATAATGGAGTATCTTTTGATTAACTTGTTGTGTCCACTAGTAACATTGGTTTGCAGATACTAAAGCAGGCTGTCCAACTGCCTTGATGCCAGCAATTAGTGACTGCACTGTCCTGTTAGTCAAAAGGATTGAGTAAACAATCCTCAAAACAATGTAAATTTAAGCTGCTTATGAAATTGTGTTTGAGCACATCTGGGTGACTTCATCTGAAGCGGGTGAGGGGGAGCTCCTGCAGTCCCATTACCTGGCAAAGCTGTGAGGCCATTAGGTTACCAGTGATGGACAGTGATTATTGTTGGTAATGTGCCTGTGATTTAAGGGCAGAGGTGAGATTTTCAGCTCTGCTTTTCATAGTGTCATTGGGGAAGCTGTGAGAGATTAAATGTTTGCTTATAGTTGGACTGGTTCTGCAATATAATACAGGTGATTTTTCATTTCATTGTTTCACTCCAGTCTTGTGAAAATGCCATTGTTTGCTGGAAGCCTGGCAAGATGGAAGATGATATAGATAAAATCAAGCCCAGTGAGTCAAATGTGACCATTCTTGGGAGATTTGATTATAGCCAGTGTGACATATGGTACATGAGATTTTCAATGGATTTCTGGCAAAAGGTATGTGTCTGACTTTGCTATATTTGAAGGTGTGTAACTTTTCATTGATTACATGTTTATGGGCATAGGAAGGGTCTTAGTTCATGTGATGTTTGAGAAACAGAATGGTTTGCTTTAAGGGACTTTATATGAACCTGCAGGAGCTCCAGATTTTTCATTCTGGGTTCTGCCTGTAGGAAAAATTTCCACAAAATAAATACTAATTTTCCACCAGCAATAAGTTTCCTGATGTCTTCATCCCCTGTCTGCAGAGATTGATAAATTGGAAGAAAGGAGGCAAATTCTATGTACTTCTGACTCCTCCAACAAACTCATTAAGTCATTCATGTTTAATGTTCACACACAGTTTATCAGCTCTATAACCTCTATAAAATTCTGACTTCATTCTTTGAGGGAGTATTTTAAAACCTCTTTATCCACTGCTTTTTTTTTAAGATGCTTGCTCTGGGGAATCAGGTTGGCAAACTTTATGTTTGGGATTTAGAAATAGAGGATCCACATAAAGCCAAGTGAGTACTTTATTTTGTTTTTGCTAAGACAGGGAGTTGGGGTACTTTTCTTTTTCCTTTCCTGATTATAGAGAAATTCTTTACAGTACTACTTACTTTCCATTATAACTAGTAGGGAGATGAACATTGTGAGCCCCTGAAGGTTAATGTTTATTATATCTCGCTGATTTATAAATTATTTTATATTAATGCCAAAAGGTCCCAGTTGGATTGTGCTGGCTACCATGCGTAGATATAGTAAAAGGCAATTTATTTCTCACAGAGTTTTTGCTAATTGGGTGGCATTTTGGAAAGCCATTAAGTGAAGATGTGCTAGGAGAGTGTAGCACATGACAAAGGCGAGATAGGTGACAGGACTGGAGTAAAAAAGGAGAGCGTAAAGGTAAACTATGAGCACAGTGTGGAGAAAACACTGTGGCTTTCTACTTCCTCACCTGTGTTGCCAGGCAATTTCACAGCTTGTCTCTTAGATACATATAGGTACATATGTTTGTGTGTAAACATACAAATGCAAAAAAACCCTAAACACAAAAAAAAGGCCCCAAACAAACTCACTCCCAAAAAACATTGTATATAAAATGGATATACACTGTGTATATAAATACTTAATGCATTTTATTTTTATATATCCTATATAATATCTTATACATATCTTGATATATTTATATATATAATCCATGTAAATATGTATATATGAATACATTAATGTATGGAATTCCTGGAAATGCTACAGTCTTTAATCACATGATTCTGATTTTTCCTTCCTAACCCTGTGAAATAACACTGATTATGAAGTCCTAAATAATGTGATTCAATAAGCTTTCAGTCTTTGTGTCAACAAAATTTGGGTGGACGAGAAACAACTGTAGCTGAACAGGAAACTGCTTCCCAAGTCCTCATTTGGAATACAAAATACACCATGAAGGCCATAATCCTGTTACCTTCAATTCCTCCTAGGTCACATGAATAATGGATTACTGAAACAGTGCTCCATAATGTAGTAGGAAGATTTAACATTGCAGCTGAATAATTTTCTTTTCCTTCTAGGTGTACGACTCTTACTCACCCTAAATGTGTTGCTGCCATCCGACAGACCAGTTTTAGCAGGGATAGCAGTATCCTTATAGCTGTGTGTGATGATGCCAGTATCTGGCGCTGGGACAGATTACGATAAAGTACTTTTTCTTAATTCATAGAAGAAAATATATTTTCAAATTATAATATAGTCTGTTAACATGCTAGTTCAGTAGATGCATTTAGTGTAGACTTTCTCGAAGGTTCGGCAGGCTGGAGCTGGACTTAGTGATGTTTACATTCTGTGTATTGTTCTGCTTGAAATTGCTGCTTTTAATAAAAAGAAGTATTTTTGTAAAGTTTTCTGAATTGTCCATATTAATTATTTCCCACAAGTTTTCACTTATGGTCTAGGAAATTTCTTTGTGTAGAGCTAATGCATGAATGTATGCCAACTTGCTAGAAATTTGGTATATTTATGCTTGCAGTTGTATTTTGTGCCTTTCAAAAAGCTAATGAAGCTTTTATTCAGGGACAACACAAAGGAAATGTTACTCTTAAGAATTTAATACAAATAATTGTTAAACAATTTCTAAACATATTTTGAACTCATTCTTTAAGTTGTAGATTGAAATTGATTTAATTTTCAGTAATCTCAAATTGGAATTTGCTTCTCACAATATCTGTTAATGACTGGGGGGAAAAACATTACTGGCTTTGCTTTGTGGATCACATTGTTCTATTGTTTGATTTCTGTCTAGTTACTGCATTTATCTAAAAGTTTGTTTTTGGAAATATATTTTATTGCCTCTATTGTCAATATTCCCAAATAGCCTCCTCAATGTTTTTTACTTGAATTCTAAAATCAATCATACTTCATATATGTTTAAAATGTGTGCACAGTCAATAAAAATGAAAGGAGGAAATAGATAAGAAGGCAGAAATTATTAGCAGTGATAATCTGTGTTCAAAACATTGTGTGTGTCTTGTCAGCAGGTAGTTGAAATGCTCATGTCTGTGTTAAGAAAGTGGTTCAGGACATTGCTCCGTAGCTGTGTATCTGAATGAGGAAGAAACTAAATAACACTTATTGAGGCTGAACCATTTACATACTTTTTTTCCCATTCTCTTTCCCTGCCCTTTATTTCAACACATAACATGTTACTTGAGAAGAATGTTTTAAGTTATGATGTAAATGCCAGTACAGTGTCCTTGTCAGTATCATGGTGCCTCTCTGATCAGTAGATTAAATAGTCCTGTCTGCTGCTGACTTCTTAAGTGCATATCTGACTTTTCATCTTTCAGGATTTTGTTTTTTTCTCTTTGTTACAGTTTGTGAAGCTTGTAAATTCTCTGGTTAGGATAACTACCTGTTCAGTTGGAAGTAATATGACTAAACTAGTTTTGATTTGTGTCCTTAGGAACCTAAGAAAAATGAAGCCCAGAACTGACAAGCAGTTTACAAAGTGTAGTCTGTAATATATGATTGTTTTCCTTTTTTTTCTTTTTTTTTTTTTTTTTCCCCACTTTTAAATCCTTAATCTTACTACTGGGGAAGGGTAGTAGTACCACAGGTCTGTCCAAAACTAGTGTTTAATTGAGATCGATTTTGGACCTGTTTTTCTTGCACAAGCCAAATGGCTGGTAAGGTCTTTCTTGTGCCCATCATGAGTGTCTGGTGAAGCAGACATGGTCAGGAAGCCAAGTGTAAAAGCAGAGTTGGGCAGAACTATGTTGAAGCCTGAGTACTGGAGGAAGGAAACAAATTCCTGCAGAGCTGAACACAGATCAGCTGAAGAGAGAGACAGGTGAGACTGGAGCTTGGCGAAAGTGTTAAACTTCCTGCACTTACAGAACTGCTGGCATAGTATGAGCCAGCGTTTACACAACAGCAGTGGTCCATAGACCTCATAGATCATTTTGTAGAAAGTATGAGGGGTTGGCAGAGTCTGAAAAATTATGGGGCTGGGGTGTGGTTGGGAGAGCACTCTAGAAAGGCAGTGGGAGTGCTCAGGCTTCCTGCAGCCTCAAGGAAAGAGTTTTGATTGAATTAGCTATACTAAGAACACTTGGGTTGGAGGCTGGTGCCACATAGCCTTTGCAAATGCTTTACAGTAGCATAGCATTAGACTGTCTTTTGTGTTTTTCCATGGCCAGAGTTGAGAGTAAAATGGGATATAAAAGCAGGAGGGATTTCTCAGCCATGGGTGTTGTTTTGGGACATAAGTGGTACATTCTGACAAATGAGCTGCTCTGTTTAAGAGGAAGGAAAGGAAGGGTGGTGCTTGACTGGAAAGAGGCCTAAAAAAGTTAGGGTCAGCTTTAACTTCTGTTTTAACTTACAAATGTGCTTAAGACTGTCCTCTTAAAAGGCAGACAAATGTTCCAGTTTTGCCCTGAGAAACAGGATAGAGCTGAAATCTTATGAACAGTGTTAATGAAGGGAAGAATTTGTGTAAGTAAGCTGTAACAAGCCAAGGGGAGAAAAAATTCTCCTTTACAACAGTCAGCCCCATCTGTGTGTAGAATTAATAATATTTTGAAAATACAGACATCAGGGTGGAAAAGTCTCTGTCAACAAGCAGACTGATAAAGCTTAACTGAATATGAAACTTATGTATTTTATTAGGGTGTTTTCTTCCTACAGTTGCCTAGATCTAGACTAAAACAAAGGAGAAGGATTAAAATTATTGTGTGTCTTCTGGAAGATACAGCGCTATTAGAATTATAATCATTGCAAAAGAATTTAAAGACTAGTTTAATATTTTCCAAAACCTTTTTACCTTTTAAGATATACTTTTGTGAAACATACCTTAAGAGCTCCAGTGCCTGAATTTTTCAACAGTAGAAGTGTAGTTTAACCCTAGTATTGGAGAAACCTACCAAAAATAGCCTGAAAGAACATGTGCTTTTTTCCATTGTCTTCAGGCCAGCTTTAGGTCTGTTCTTCGGCAAATTCTGTAATTGATTCCTGTTCCCCATTTCAAGACAGGTGAGGGAGAGGTGAAGTCAGGCTGATGAGTAACTGCAGTACAGTCATAAAACTGTTTCAGTGGCTGCAAGTGTTGTTACAGCGGTCTGTTCTTTATGAACTCTGCATTAAGAGCATTCTAAAATTTGAAGGTTGCTGATTCCCTGAGTTATTGCACACTGAGTATCTTCCTGAAGAGATTAAAAAAAAAAAAAAAAAAAAAAAAAAAAAAAAAAAAAAAAGCGCTGAATATATAACAGAGGTATCTGGTGGCCTGTCTTATTCTACCAACTTTCAGAAACTTAGATATTGCATAAATGGTAGTCTTGGACTACAGTTCCAACTTTTAGGCAGAGACTTTGCCCAGAGACAGCAAGGTTTGTACCACAGCTGGAAGTAGGAATAGAAAACAGGCTCCTGATGGCTAAATCAGTGGTTCACTTGAAAGGTCTCTTCTCAGAGTATGGTCCTGTTTCCTGGGGTGATGCTCCATCTGGTGGTGAATGAATAAAGAACATTGCCACAATGCAGTTTTAAATCAGGTTTTTCTTGAGGCTTTTAATGTTAAGCCAAAAAAAAAAAAAAAAAAGTGCAAATATGGATCAAATTTGCCCTGCCTAGTATAGGTAGGAGTGCTTGTTTTCTCTGGTGCATTTCATGCTTATGTTTCACCACTGATTGTATTGGGGAGCTCTGATTCCATGGCTAAATATCAAGGAATTAACTTCCTCTGCAAGTGCTATAGACATGGTTAGATTCTTTGCTGTCACCATGAGATGTGTCAGAAAAATATTTACAATGAAGAAGTGAAGCAACTTTTAGAAAACAAATAAAACAAATCACATGCATAATTAGAATTTTGACTACTTGCTATGAATTTTGCATCTGTTTCTGTATAAGCCAGCAGCAATATATGTGCTTTGTTTCTTCCTGTACTTTTAAATTTTTCTCTGGACATGGTGGTGAGGGCAGATGTAGAAACAGGTAGGGCCATTGTGACAAGAATCTTTCATTCTAACTAACAATTCCTGTTGCCTTAGAAAGGAAAACAATTAGGAAAATGCCCCAAAATGGAGAGAAATATATCTGCCCCTGTCACAGTTATGAGTTTGGCATGGAAGGGTATGTTTAGCCTCAAAGCTACTGATCCAGTGATCAGTAGACAGGATTTTATGGTTTTTATACAGGTTTTCTTTAAAACATGAACTCCCTAGTATCTAGAAAATAGGAATGGGAAAATTACTCTAAATGTAGGAGGATCAAAATAATTTGTATTACATAGAGCTTGTTATTGTTATAGACCTTATACCTCTGACTATACCTGGGGAAAGGAATTTTAGTATTTTGTGTGTGGAGAAAAAAAGTATATGTGTGTGTATATAGATATATATATAATATGTTAAAGGCAAAATAGATGAATGTATGTATCTTTGTTTCTCCTCAGATTTTTTTCTAAAATCCTCTTCTCCCATTTTAAAACCACAGTGTTGAGATAAGATGTATTGTTGGGAGACACGTTAGAAGACCCTGGAGTTTCTTAAATTCAATTTCCTTAGACAAACTGAATGCCTGTTTCCTCAAGCACCCTAACTAGTGATCATATGATAGGATTTCACAGAGCTAGTGAAACTCACCCACCATAATCCTGTGCTTCAAAACTGAGAAAGAAAAAGCACTTGTGCTTGAGAAGCACAGTCTGGCCATCCACATCTGTAGAAATGAATCAGTTCTTAATTTCAGAGCAGTTGTGAAAGGCAAAATACTGATACTAAAGGGGGATAGACTGTTCCCTCTGTGAGTTCCTGATCTGTAAGCTCAGTCACAGCAAGAAAGAAAAGTAATTTACAATGATGCTCTCAAATGTGTGCTACATTCAGTGAGCTCAGAGACAACACCTACTGAACCCACAGTGGCTACAGCACTGGGAGAAGTTCTTAATCTACACTACTGAATTGTTCAAACCCCATAGAAATACATATTTTCATTTACAGCCCTAATGGCTGGAGCAGGGGCAAGAGCAGCTAAAGCACTCATGCTGGACTTAGTGATCCTACCCACAAGGTCTAGTCTGGCATGTCTGGCTTCCTGAAGCCCAAACAACAATCCCACCAGCATCTGGAATAACCAGAATGCAGCTTTGGTCACAACAGAAGTAGCTTGTTATAACTAGAAGAGAGAAGAGTGAGCAGAAAAGTGACAGCCTGTGCTCAAACAGGGCCCTTGGGTTTAAATACCTTTGGTTCTATGACTCACTCTTCACCAACCATATTGAATGGTGAGGGCCGTGGAAAGTTGCAACAAGAAGTGGCAACATGCGGATTATTTCATAGAGGGCAGCTCTGGGCAGTCAGATGAGGAAGGTGTAGATAGTACCTCTTTTTCTTACAAATAAATCACTCCTTTGCTAATTAAATTGTGCTGATGGAGTGAGTCTGCTACATCATGTAGACACATAGTCCTTAACTCCTGATGTCTTGTGAAGTGTTAATTACTCATTTCCACAGCAGCCAGATCTTTCCTTAGAAGTATGAGAAGCTGAGCAATGACCACTCCTAACTTCTATTTGGTCCCTCTTGTCTCCTCTGATCCATTTTTGTCACCAGCTATGTGAGGCATCTGCCACCTGTGTGACAAAAACATCCTACAGCAGAATTTGACAGGTCACATGGAATGAACCTAATGACCCATTCTGATGAGGGAGTTTAGCCTGGGCCTCTGCTAAATTCCCTCATTGCTGCTTCTCTACAAGCATTTGGCCTACAAATGTGTCTTTAAGAAAATTAAGCCTCTAGTCAAGCAGGCAACCCAAATTTTTCAGGGCTTGGGTCTGTGCCATGGCTTCCAGGAAATAACCCTGAGCCTTGTTCCATAAATTACCTGGGAGAGAATTAGTTTAACTTTTCAAAAGCTGTTCTTGCAACAGTTTTCCTGGGTTTCATTAGTCTGTTTGCTTCCTCTTCTGGGTCCCAGGTTGAGCTCATTCCTTTTATTCTTTGAGTCCCTCTGCTTTTATGCAAGGGAAAAGTCCATTTTGAGCTGAGGCAGAAATGACATAGGGTGTCATTGAGCACGTTCAAAGAACTGAGTTTCTGTTCTCAGGATAAGTGTACCTAAGGCTGACTTTGCTTGATAAAGGACTCCTTACAGGCTTAATTCCCCAGTCAATGAAACTAGTAAAAACTTATCATGCCAGTGGTTTGGGAACAAGTCTTAGTCCTTCATTACAGAAAGTAACTTTAAAAAGCAAGATCTATTGTTAAAAATAGTACTTCTGAGCAAGCTGATCTAGTGAACAGAAGGGCCAGCTGGAGCTTATCTATGAGATACCTAGGCACATATGGCCAAAGCCATCACACCAGCAGAAACTGCATTTGTCATGAGAGCCACTCGGACCACCCCAAAGTCCTATGGATTTATGAGCAAATGTGACAGCCTTTGGTGCTAGTAACCTAGACAGCATTATCAGACACCCCACATCTGTTTCTAAGAGAAACAAGATTTTACTTTCTTATTACTGGGAATAATTCTTCTAGCACAGCCAAAGTTCCTAAAGATTCCTCTTCATTTCACTTTCATATAGGAAAAGTTAAAGACAGGTACTCCAAGATTAAGCTCAATAGTGTCTTACTGCCAAAGAGGAAAATACTCCTGTACCTTTTATATGAGCTGGGGACAGGGATATTGGTTGTCCACAAAATGGGAGAACTTACAGTGCAAGTACAAGCAGGAAAACCATCAGCATATTTGCAGTTGCCCGATTACCCTTGAAATGAGGTAAGAAGGAAAAGTCCGCATTCAGTTTGTGTACAATACCCCAAAGCACCACACAAGTATGACACAGTGCTGCCATTTTTCATCTTGTAATTTTTTCCACTTTAAATGCAGTTTCAAATAAATATTTCTACATGGAACATTGATTTCTTGTTGCAGCCAAGCATTTAAATTAAATAAACCAACATGCAGACTAGTAATTTTCATTGATTTTAATTTTAAATACTGTTCAAGAGTAATATAAAAGTTACTAGTTTGTCTATTTAGACTAATCGTTGTTTGGGTTTTTCCCCTCCTCCCCCCCAGAAATCTTCAGTAGAGTTACTTGATGCATCTTTCAGGTAACACTCTAGAAAGAACTCAAAATGCGAGAATTTAAACTTATGTTTTCCAAAAGAGAGGGTTCTGTGTCAGACGTCTCTGGAAGTTTTCATACCTAGAAAAATAAAAATAAAACAAAAATAACAGCTGCTGCATATAAAATTGTGTTTTTAAAAAGGGTACAAATAATTTAGTCTATGCAGAGAGCATGATAAATTACATTTACTGCACACCAGGAAATCAGTAAATCCCAAATCAATTTGCATATCTAGAATATTTGCAGTTAGACTTGTGTATTTCACCAAGATGAATTCTGTTAAACCAGTATCCCAGAAGAGACTCATTCAAGCTTAATAAAATTGTAAGTTAATTTAGATTGAACATGTGGAAAATTTTCTTCACTGAAGGGGTTGTCAAACACTGGAACTGGTGGAGTCACTGTCCTTGGTGGTATTTAAAAGACATGTGAACATGTTTTATTGGCCCTGGGTTTGTGGTGCACCTGGCAGCAGGAGGTGAATGGTTGGACTCCATCTTAAAGGTCTGTCCCAACCTAAACAAGTCCATGAATTATAAATTACTGTTTTATGCATAACATTTTTGGGCTAGAAAATCATGAATGAATGTATAAATCTGAGGCTGGCTGGTAATGTTTTAGTAAAATCAAATAGGAAAATGTAATTCTCTAACATATAATGTAAACATGTATGCACACATGCTGTCCTAATTTCACTTTCCATACTCACAAAACCAAGCAAACCATAAACAAACAGCATCAGAATTCATTGTTGACACAGAGTGAAGAAATAGGCAAAATACACAATTTCTGTGCCTTTCTACAAGAAAAAATAATAGAGAAGCCTATAGGCTTTGAGCCACAAAAGTTAAACCCCCCGCTTTTAATCCTCGCGAACCCAAAATGTAAGGAATCAAAAGGTACTGGCAATGAAACAAAGGAAACCACAAAATAGTATCCTACACCTCATAGTTCACAGCCCAGCTTAAGTGAGGAAAGACTGAAGGTCTTGGTTTAAAACCCATTCAGCCTCACCCAGGCACTGACCAGTCACATCACAGACCCTACCCACATACAGTTCATGGAGTCTGTAGTTACCTTCTAAACACAAGGCATCTGCAACAAATTACACTCCCAGACAATACATATGTCTCTAATCAACTGCTTGCATATTCATGAGATCTTACTAATGATAAAACTGTATTCAGATTGTCTCAAACACTGATTTAAATAGGGCTTCGGTTAATACTGCAGAGGCTAAATAAATAAGGCCAAACTGATAGGAAAGACATTTTCAGATAACCTCAAGAATTACCTGCAGTTCACAATTTATCTCCAGACTACACAGGCTATCCCCAGACAGTTATTAAACCAGTCCCTGGAAAACAACTCCCAGAGGGACTTGTGTATTTATACTCAAGGATTTTGGTGACAGAACCAGGTCAACTAGTAACATGATTTCATCACCTCTCACATATTCTTAAGCAAGGCAACTATGCTGGAACTATGTCTAGGAAGAGACCAAATAAAACAAATAAGCATAAATTGACAGGTATCAGTATGCTCTGTCTTCCCACAGCTCCAGAGCATTTGCATTATCAGCAACACAGTGCAAATGTACATATGTCAAAGGCAACCTTTTTAGAACCAAAAAAGTTTCACTGGTTGCATAACACTTCTCTAACAAAACAAAACAAACTAAACAAACAAACAAAAAAAAGCTGACAAATAAATACAAAAACAGTGGGCAGGACCTCTCTATATTAGAAATAAACAACAATTTAAACCACTTCTGCATCATCTCACTGAATACCATGACAGTAGTTCAGTTCTTAGAAATGATGGTCTAATGCCTAGAAAAAAACCACATTTGTTACTAGAGATCACTGCCATTACCATTTCAGAACTACATTTGCAGGAATGAAAGCTTCAGAAGGATTTGGGGTCATCTGTGCCTGAGTAACAGCAAACGAGGAAGCAAAGTTATAGAAGTTATCCAACATCTTCTGAGTGAACTGAAATAAAAAAAAAAAGAAGATATTTTAAGGAAGTTCTTTCTTCAATTTGAACTTTTGTGAAAAAGTTTAACAGATATGCAGCTCCTACATGAATGAAGTAATATTAACATTGTCATCTAAAACACAGTGGGAAAGTGGATGTAGTAGGTCCAGAGACAATGATCAAAATATCCTAAGCTTAAGTCTTGCCCTCAGATCTATTCAGCATTCAGAAATCATTTTAAGAATCTTCACTTGCTCTCTGCTCAGTTTCATCCAGCTGGACAAACAGCCTTGGGAAGAACATTTTCTGTTTGTAACAGAAGAGCTGTTTGTGTGAAAAGCTGTCCCTCTCCTCCAAATTGAATAATCAGAACAACTCCATACTGGGCCAAAGCTGCCATTCCAGCTCCCAGAAAAACACTTGTTAAACGATTGGAAAGGTCTGCAATATATTTACAGGTCATCAGACTCCAGTGACAAGACAATTTCCTTTAGCACTCGCCTAAGAAGGGCTGCTGTCCTGGCATCTTCTACTACAAGATCTTGTGGGGAAAACACCTAAAGGATGCACAGGGCACTCCTAAACTATAGGACTAGGAAAGAAAAGAGTGAAAGAGAGGCCAAGAAATAGCAAGGCCAGTGTGCAGAGGATGAGGCTGTAGGACATTCCCAGCCAGTCTACAAATATACAAGTCTACAGTAACTCCTTATTTTCTCTATTAAAAAAAAAGATTATGCTTTGTTTTGATGGGAGAACAAGGAATTTTCATATGGAAAATCTCATAGACAGTGATATGATACAGGAAAACAAAGCCTGAATTAATAAATGCAGTCTTGTACTCCCCTCTGACAAAAGGAGCAGAAATCATATCCCAGAACCCCACCCGCAGGCTCATCTCACTCACATGCAGAACTCTATGGTTTTGTCCTACTTCTTTTTTATATACGTTTATACACATAAAGATATATTCAATCATAAATCTTCATAAAACTTACTAAAAATGTAATAGGAGAGTAATTTCTTCAGTTAGGTACCAACAGATGATTTTGCCACTAAAAAATACTTTTATTACTATAATGCAGCAGTTCCAAAGAGCTGGTGTCAGAAATTAAATGAAAGCTATCCATTATTCACAAATATGCTCCCAGTCATATATGCCCTTCCTCTGCAATCTGCTCCCTAAAAGGTTTCCTTCCACTTTGACCTCACACATTTTCTCTGTAGGAGTAAGTAGTACTTCACCTTTTGGGTCAACTGCATTCCTTGAAGGCAATTACATTTTTCAGTTAATATGTTCAGAGTTAGATGCTGATCTTTTTTTAACAGAAAAATTCACTTAACTGAGAATAACATTTGTAAAAACATTATGGAATCATGAGATGGGTTTTTTTTTTTTCTTTAAATACTATTGCCAGAAAAATCCATGAGCCCTCTTGCAAATGACCTGATGTGGTATGTTATTCCTCATAACTACTACTGCTAAAATGAACATTGATGGAATCAGAAATATTATTTAGGTGTACTTAGCCCCTAACAACTCCAGAAAAGCTCAATTAACTGTACTATACAAAAATAGCTGTTGGTCAACTCCTAGTCATGGTAACTTTCTGAAAGAAACATTACCTATTTGGAGCTACAATGTGTATAAACTGCTAAAGAACATCAGCCACAGTATCAAAATTACTGTACAATTACCAGTCTCACTCATCAAGCACCAGGAAAGAAAGTCAAAAGGTAAAAAAGGCCTGAACAAAAGCCTCACCAACTACTGAAATGTTAAAAGAAAATGCCAGAGCCATTAGGGAAATCAAGACCCGCTGTGCAGGTCTAGCTTGCCTTGAACTGCTGTCAGACTGCCAACTAACTGCCAGAGCTGGCTGAGGATTTCCAGAGGTTCAAACTAATGGACAGGCTGGGTTAAAAAATGGCATATATTGTAGCCCAAGGCCTGATCCACTGCAAAGGCACTGGGGAAAAACAAACATTTTTCTGTGGGAAAGGACATAATTTGGTAGTTTTGAAGAACTACATCAGAAGGATTTCTCCAGGGAAAGTGGTACATCTTAATATCTCTCTGCATCCATGTCCACATTTGCCTTGTGAGTGATTTTTGACTACATACTGAAATTTCAGCACCTACAAATCACCAAAGATCCACTCTCTTACATGTATTTAGTCATAGCTGCTCCTATAAGAAGTATCATAAATAATTTTAGTGACACTGACACAAAAGTTAATCTCTTGGCCTCATGTCACTGAGGATGCAAATTCCAGTCTTTTACAGGAGACAGTTTTTCAGTGTACGATAGCAATTTCATAGTATCAAAGCATCCAACCAAATGATTTGACAATTACTATGTTGCTTACAATCCTACTGCCACCCCCAGCAGCATCCCCTACCAGTCCTCAGTTAGTGCTTCAGAGGCTCAATTCTTGAGACTTCCACAGAAACAGAATTTCTGAAAACAGAAAGTCCAGGCTACCTCTGTGAATGAATCTACTGATGACACAGCAGCACTTGCAACAGGAGTCTGCTGAGCCAGGGTCTCCAGCAGTTCCACTGAGATTCCAATCTGAGCCACTGTTGGTGTCTGTGGGAGGTTCATGGCACCAAAGGGATGCTGACTTCCCTTCCCTGAAAGCACCATGAACAGCACACGTTAGGTTTGGCACACACGTAAAAGCTGTGTAACTTCAACCACCGTGTTTCTCCTGTAGAAGGTATTCCCCAGCTCCCACCAGAGGGATCTCCCTATCCCAGGAAATACAGAAAAACCACAGTCCAAGCAAAAGTACACACAAGCACAACAGATGGAACAGTGTGACTGGTACATTTAAAAAGCACAACAGATCATTAGGAAATTTAAAAAAACACAAAAACATGACTTTACAGCTCCCTATGAAGTAAAGGGATTCAAGAGGGAATATGATCAGTGAGTGAAAGACAGCAGAACTTTCTCTACAGGAGCCAAGCTTTTAATTCACATTTTGGCAATTGCAGATAAACAGGAAATATGCAGCACTGCTGCAGTTGTTTGATTCACTCATTAAAGGCAGGTTCTAGTGAGACTGCTCTGAAACAGTAGACAGCACTGGTTTTGATCCCTCTGACTCAGCAAGAGCTGGGCAGCCTTAGATCTCATCCAAACTGCTAAAACCCACCAAAAGCAGCAAAGGTCAAAGAAATAGTCATGGAACAGAAAGGCCTCTGACTTTTCAAGTACCACAAAGAAAACAGGAACCATCCCCAAACCGCATGCCACAAACACAGGCATCATCCCAACCCTCTGCCCTCACTTCTGACCTTTCTCAATCCATACTTTCAGTCCTAGCTTCAGCCAAGGTCTCTGCAAACAAGGACAAACACTCAGAGTCACTTAAATCATGTACTCTTCTGTCAGCACCTCTAAAGGAAAATACTGGAAAAGGTCTGTGGGACCACACTGCTATCAGTAAACAAACACTAATGCTGCACCTTTGTGGGAACACAAAAGTCAAGTACCCTCTTAACACACAGGCAATGCTTCTGCAGCACTCTCTGGCCCCTTACTAGCAGGAGAAAGCAAAGCTAATCAAGAGCTGTCCTGCAGACCAGTCAGCACTATTTTGAGCTGCAAGAAAGGCTAATGGACATCAAAAGCACTGTATTGCTTAGTCAAAAACTCAGCCAGCAAAAACAATCTGACAAGTAGAACTGAGATCAAGACCGAAGACCTCAGGAACTTGACCATTCCTCTGCAGAGACACAAGGCACAAAGAAGCAAACAGACAACCTATATAGAAAGAACTCACAAACTCAGCATCCTTTTCAATTGAAGTGCTACTCCTCACTCCATATCCTAAAACTGCAATGCAGTGTTACCTTATGAGTAAAGTACTCCTATTAAAATGTTACTTTAACACAAAGTAAGTAAGAAGAGAGCTCATCTCCTGAAATGCTATTTAGAACCTTTTCTGAGAAACGCCATTTAATTGCTGTATGATCTCACATTTGCTGTTCGATGCTTGTTTGATACAAGCTATCAGAAACCAAGTATCAAGTTCATTATTAAAAGTCCCAACAGCAACAGAGCTGCTACAAGCTTTGCATCTTGTGACCTCTTCACCTGAGAAACTGACATTTGAATAAAAATGCAACATCTTCAAGCAACAGGCTCTGTTTCAATGTATGATTACCTTAGCCAGTCATGATACATACAACAAAACACATCCATTCTAGTCACTTTCCATAAACTCCCATAAAACCACAGCCTTGGAAATATGTCTGCCTAAAAGTGTGAAATAAACTCATCCATTGCCATCCTTACACCAAGAGAAATACACTCCATGTTTTCCATGCTTGGCTCTTGCAATTAGCATTCCAAACCTTAAAAATGCAGGGAATGTTAATCAGTACTGAAATACAAGCTCAGGTTTTTGTATTCAGACCCTACACTCTCCAACACATTACATCACCACAGAGCAACTGCTATCAGAAAAGTATTTTTTCCACCAGTTTTTTCCCCTTCATTGAACCTTTAATTCAATGATTGAGCCCTCATTATCTTTCAGCCCAACCATAATAAAATCCTTACCCATGTGTAGGCCTCAAATGCAGGGATCATATTAGAGCATGAACAGCATCACAGCAGAAGAGTCTGTCATGGAAAAGGCTCTGCTGTAACTCTTACCTCACTTGTGAACATACTTCCAGTAAGGGTGCAAAGTAGAAGTCCAAAGTCGTTTTCTACTTCTACACCTTCAGGTACAACTGAAAACCAAAAAACTTTACAATTGCAAGGCATGGAGCATTTCTAAGCCCCTTCTTTATGCACAAATGAATGAAACTCTGCTACAACCACTGCTTCCCAGGGAGCTGACAGGGACACACCTTTAGTCCTCTCAACCAGGTATTAAACCCAGAATGCAGAGTTCAAGTATCAGCAATGTCTCTTAATGATTCCAGCTCTCTGTTATGTAATCTTCTCCATCTTAAAATCGTTTATGGCCATGGAAACTTAGATTGTGTAGCTTAGACTGAGTCCATAATCAGAGCTAAGCTGCAGACAATGGGAATGGCAGAGCTCTCTGCTCCTCAAATCAAGCACAGCAGTGCCCCACGGCACTATGTCACCAAGTTCTTCCCTGAGAGCAGCCCTTACAGGGAAACTATGGCTAATCATGCAAAAAGCATCTGAAAATGCACCTTCCTCCAAAGTGAGAGCACATACCAGTGAGTCTTTCAAATATGAGAAACATAAGCCAAAAACCCTGGTGATATGCTTTAGGTTACATTAACCACACAGCTTTGGGATACACAAAAGCCCCAAACACTTCCTGCAGGTGCTCCCTCTTCTGAAAAAAGCCCAATTTTTTGAGGAATGTGTATGATTAGAATTAATTTTGCTCTGCAGATCAAAAGCCCATATCTCAAGCATACTGCCATATCCAGGACTGACCTAAAAGAAAGCATGCCATATTATGAATTAATATATTTTAGCAGAGCAACCTCAATGCTGAATTCAACAGAGATTCAAGCTGAAGATGTAGACTACATCTAAGCCTACAAAAGATGTGTACTACTTCATCACTGTAACATTTTAAGCTGCTTGACTGATGTATCTGTCCCTTTTATACAAAAAAGGTGTGCCATTGGAATGCCTCATCATTTTTATAATGCACACAGCACACCCCTCGTATTCAGGAAACCACACGCACACAGAGACATACACACACACCCTACTCAGTGTGTGAAAATTACTAAAACATTTGGAAAGCTGCTTTCCAATGAGGACACCCTCTGTGGACAATTCTGCAGAGCAACTGCCCCTGGCTGGGTAGCACCAGAAATCACTGCCAGGCTCTACTCCCTGCAAAACCTGTCTGTGCTACAAAGAGTACAAGCACGTAGCAGAGGAAGCTGAAAGAAAATGCTGCTGGCATGTCTAGACAAACACATAAAAACATGGTAGGGAATTTACAGGATCATTTTTCCTCTATGCAGAGGACAAAAACACATCAAGTCTGCTTAGAAGAATTTCCAGATCAACACCACACACAAAAGATGATGAGAGTGAAATTTCACAAGGAACAGTAACACACAGACTTCCATGACAATGACAGGCTGCTTCTAGTGCATCTGCTCAACACTATCTGAAAACAGAGTGTGATGCCTTTTTAAGTAGCTTTTTGTTCAAAGCAACCTTCACACATCTATCCCTTATGCATTCAGGAACGCATCTGTTACACCAATTGCTATGTTCTACCAGCCTTACCAGATTTCAGACCAGAAATTTTGAAGATGGCACTTGGCTTCTCATTAGTGACAAACCCCAGCAGCTGCCACACTGCCATCCCACTCTGGTCTGGGTAACAAAAATAGACAGATCCTCCCATTCCATCTGGAAATGGTATAGTTCCCAGCATGAAGACCACTACATGGTTGATGTTTTCATAGTCTGGTAAATCAAATACAAATTTGTCTTCAGCCACTTGCTGGGGTGCAGCTTGTACCTAAAGAAAACAAAATCTTTATTAGTATTAACATGTTTTTCATCTTCATCTGTCTGCGAATTTCCTTTCACAGAAATACACCTAAAGTGGTACATAACAAAAAGTGAGGAACGTACTAGCCTAAAGAGCAAATAGCCAGATAGAAGTCAAACACAGCAGAAGAACAACTGCAAAAAATATTACCAGAAAGACACAACAGTCTTGTTCTACCTGCACTGAACACATATCCCACCCGGGACTACAGGATCAGAATACCTTCGCTCCCCATGTGCGTAGGAGGAAAGTAGGGTGCAGAAGAGGTTGCCAAGTCACTAAGAAGTGGCTGTTGACCACCTGGCTGGCACAACCCCAGGATCATGGAAACCTGTTCACATAGGAAATACAATAGACCTTGAGAAAGGCAGCAGAAGGATGGCTGAATGCCAGAGCAAAAGATACCCTCCTCTTTACCCGAGATGCCACATCCTTGCAGCCAAGGCACAATCTAGCCTTAAAAAGCGTCTTTTAAGCTCCCAGCTTGTCTCTGAGGAGACAACATCGCCGGGGGGATGGCAAGGGCCTCCCGGCAAGGGCGCTGGACACGGCAGCAGCCTGCGGGGAGCCGGCCGGGCAGGCGGGCCCGGCCTGGGCCGGGGGCCCTGCGGCAGCTCCACCCCGCCCCCGAGCGGGTTGAGGGCCCCGCCCGGGCCCGGGCAGCGCTCACCAGCCTGCCCGCCACCAGGCAGCCGAACATGGCGGCGGCCGGCGAACCCCCTCAGACGCCTCGCTACTGCCGAGCCTCCATGGGCGCCGTCCCCGGAAAGTCAGCACGCCCCGCTCACCCCGGCACTGCCGAGTCACTTCCGCGGCGCCGCCGCCGCGGACTACAACTCCCGCGGTGCAACGCGCGGCCGCGCGCAGGCAGTGTGGGTGGTTCGGGGTGGAGCATGACGGGAGATGTAGTTCTTCCGCGACGCCGCCTGGCAGAGCCCCATGGCAGCCGTGCCGCTGCCCCGGGGGCTGTGGGCAGGGGTGCGCTCAGCAAAAGCACCGCAGATCCTTCTCCCCTTGTGCTTTAGCTAGGCTGAGTTATAATGGACCCCTGATAATCTACACGTGGCGTGAAATCAGGCAGCACAGGAAGAAAATGAACAGGGAGACGAGGAGAGCCAGTTCATCTGGTAAATCTCCATAAATTACGACAAAAGTTCCTCTCAGCTCAAGACACAAAGATTGCTTTTCAATCTCTGTTTACAGAGATTCTTGCAAAGCTGCACCCGCGCTCTTTTGGCTGAGGGGAGCTCCTGTGCTTCATTGCTTGTGCTCTCCTGTCAGAGCACAGGCTGGCTGGGCTAGATGGAAACAAATCATTCCTTACTCTGACTATAAAAGCCATGCCTTTAAATCTTGTTCTCATGTGTCTCTTGGTGTTTACACAGGTATTTTAATTCATGCTTCAATCTTAATCATACCTGTGTTTATATTTCTGTCATCACAAGCCTTTATGAAACCTCTCCCGTTTTACCACGCCAGTGTGCTGCTATGGACTCTGAAACCTGTGATTGACCTATCTCTGTAGAAAATGTTTTTTTCTGCAGCCAGGATCACATTTGGTGGACAGCTTCTCCTGTCCCCAGCCCTCCCAGACCCTGGGCACTGCACCTGTGGCTTATGGCAGAGGTCTGTACCTGGGGAAGCTCCCAGGGTTGCTTTTGTTGCCCGCTTTGTGGTAGTAAAGTTCTAGCAAAGGATTGTGCTGTCTTTCCAAATGCTAAAAACTTCAACAAAATGAAGACTGCAGTGCCTGCTACCAGATGGAATAACCAACCTGTCCCTTGCAGCGTGAAAATGTGAGGGAATTACAAGAGCAAGACCTATGAAAATGCTGATGCTAGCCCACGATTATTTGTACAGGCAGGATGCAATATGTGTTTCTGCCTGATTCACCTCTTGCATGTAGTGAGAAGCCCAGGTGTAAGAAGTATTGAGGCAATGGTGCAGAACTGCTTAGTCCCAGGCCTCATTTTGGATTTGAACATTTGCAAGTGAGTTCTCTGCTTGGCAGGTGCTTTTCCAGCTGGCCCTGATCAACTGGAAAGAAAGAAAGTGTTTTAAAGCTTGAGATATTGCAAATTAGTGGAGGGTGGCCAATCTCTGCAGTGCAGCCACTGAGACACAACAAGAAATCTGCTAATTAGGCAAGAGCTCCTCTCAGATTGCCAGCTTGCTGCAAACCTCTGAGATTACACCATGTCAAAAAGGCTCAGGGTAACCACATTTTGCAGCCTGATCTCATCAGGACTCTTATGCACTCTTGCTTAGCCATGATTTTTTTTTTTTTTTAATTTAAACCTAATTATTTACTATTTATCTAAACTTGTGGAACTTTCTGTGCAATGACATCAACAAAGCCATTGCTGCTCCCCCTGCCAAAATCTAATCTCAGCCTGTTTATGAAGTTACTCTAGAACTTACTTGTAACACAGATGTTCACTTGCACCCCTACTAAGATCCATGCCTTAATGGCATTTAGGTAAAAGAAGGTCATATGGAGCAGGCACATTCCCTCTGTGCAGTAAGGGAAGGTATGTCCTGTGGGAGGATGGATGGTGAGAGAATAGAGACAGTGCTGAAGGCAATCTCACCCCTGAGGGGTTGCAGCTGTGCTAATTACCAAAGAGTAAGAACAGCCCTGCCCTTAATAGGGCACAGCTGTGTCCAATAAGGATGGGTGTTATAAGAGTGGCTCAGCTAGCTGAGTGGTGGCTGTGAGTCTGTTGGCTGTGCTGCTGTGAGGAGTCAGGGTCAGGTGTTTGTGACAGAGACTGGAAGAAGTCAGCTTCTATCAGGTCTACCTCGCATCCCATCATGTGGGCCTACCCTGGTGCCTGGCATCTGTGTGGAAGAAAGAAAAGGAGTCAGTGTTGTGAGGAGCTGCCTGTGGGAACTCACAGAGAGAAGGTATGAAAGCTTTACAGTAAGATAATAAACTAATGGTGACAGTTTCCATCTGCCATTGACTGGTGCTAAGCACTGATGCCAGCAACTGGTGGCCTGTACAGGGATGGATCTCAGCAATTTCCCATTCAATAGTAAAGGGTAGTGGCATGACAGAAAACAGCTATTTGTAGAGAACCTCTGAGGAGAAGTTTCTGTTCCTAGGTGAGGCAAAGGCAGGAGTAAGAGGAGGAAACCTCAGGCAAGTTGAGTCTAGATTGTCACAAAACTTCACCAATATACTGGTAGGTGGTGTGCTAGAATATGTGCTGGGATCCCTCCTGAACAAACAGGCCAGAAGCATCTAGACATGTTTGAGCATGAGGGCAGTGAGGTGTGGATGAGCAAGAACTGTGGAAAATAAATTTTACTGAATAAAGACTAATTTTCTTGAATAAAGACTAATTTTATTTTTGCACTAGTCACAGTTGCAAAGCAACAATAGCTTGTAAAATATTCATATGGTGTGTTGGGGGGGATTTTTATTCTCCTTTCCTCTTTCTCTGGACACCTTTTTCTCTTTGTTTGCCAGTGTATTTTTTTCTGCTGTTTTTCTAATCTCCAGGCCCATTAAGGATTTAATGAATTTATGTCATTTGCATGTTTTCCAACCTGAGGAGTTGTATCCTATGTAGTCATTTATCGTGCAGAAGTTGTTCCATATTTTTTGATTGCTCTTGTAATTTGTCTGTTTCCCTGAGATTCCCTGCAGCCAGTTTGAGCTGTCAGCAGTCGGGAAGGCACTGGACAGATCTGCTCACAGGTGCACATCTCTCCCATTTCAGTAGGGTGGTGAAGCTCTTTTTGGCTATGTGAGATCAGGTGATGTAGAAGAATGAGCTCGTGACCCCTGACCGATCAAGCCTGGGATGTTTCAAGAATTGTGTTCTCTGTGTATCTGAGGAATCCTAGAGCTCATGAAATCCTTTATGGCCTTGAAAACATAGATGAGGCTGCAGCTGGGTACCAGGAGTAGGGCTGAGGGCATTTGGGGTAGTGGAAATGTGTGATAAGGAGGACAGGGTTATGTAATAGTGAAGAAGGAGCTACCTCATGGGACAGAGGAGGAGCAAGGCTAAATGGACCATGTAGATGCAGGAATGTGATGTCAAGTGGTTCAGAGTCAGTGACCATAAGGTCACTTCAGAAAGAAATTTTCATTGTCTTTGTGCTGAGCAGTGGCCTGTATTTGTTGTGTAGCTGCTTTCCTCAGTGTTGTTGACCCATAAGTGTTAATCTTCTCCCTTTTGAAGTCAGTGAGCATTTTGCTTACAGAAATAGTGATAGTGAAAAAGGTACAGAGGTTGAATATTTACTTGGAGACTGGAATAAAGAGCCAAAGTACCCAGCATAACTGCTGACTAGTTATGCTCTTTTGAGTGTGTTCAAGTAATGGCATAAAACAGTCAAAATCTGGAGACAGTGAACATAGGTGCAATTGGTGGCACTGTTTTATATGAAAATATTTTAATTTGCATCATAATTTTTCACTATTATGACCTTTGCTTACCTTCTTTTCAACTTCTCCGAACTTTAACTATTAAGACTAAAGATCTTTTCACTAAATACTTCCATTATTTTATATTTTTATATATGTAGAAGTTTTAGCCAGAATGTTTCAGTTGTTTTGAAGACATGGGTCAAAAATGCCTTGTTTTGCTCAAGGTAAAAAATTAAAATTTGAATGACCTCTTCTTTCAGAAGCCCTAATTCCCTCATGTTGTAAGAGGAGAGACCTGCAATTTGCTGACAGGTAGTCTTGAGTCAGAAAAGGTGCTATGAAATAAGCTCACCTGTATCTAGATATGAAATTCTTGGAGAATCCCAGTTTGTTAGGTGCTCAGGAGAAATTTATGTAGCACCACAGGTTCTGTCCATGTTGAACAAGTCTCACTGGGGCTGTAGAAGTTTGTAGCTGCCTCTAGGTTGAGCACCAAAACAAGAAAAGAGTACTGAGCACTTTTTACCCAACCTAACAACCTGAGGGAAATACCTAAATTAAAACCAGTTTCCTTCTGTTCTTTCTAGACAGTGGCTCCTTTAAGGCAGCAACTGTCCTCTGGAAGAGCATCTTTGTTGCCGTTAATTGGAGAAGGCATCTTGGCAGTTCAGCCATTTACCTGAGGAGCCTCAGTTACATGGGAATTTAAATAGGAGGAATCCAGTCTCTTCTCCAGCTCACAGTGCTGGTGTTTTTAGGTATGGCAGGAGGCACAGGGGAGGAAAGGAGAAATAGCGAAGATGGGGAAAGGCATAAGGGCAATAGGTTGCAGCAGAGGTCAGGAATGAGGAAGAATATAGTTTACTTTTCAGTAGTGCTGACTTTTTGAGATTTGGAAAGTGGTTTTAAAACAAGTTTCTCTTTCAGTTGTCCAGTTCCCCTGGGCAACTGAAAGAGATGATGACTGGTTTGGTTGGAAAAAGGTGCCTGGCATATTGACCTTGCATGACCTGTTCTTTGCAAGTGGTGGAGAGGAAATTGGTGTCTCTACTGTGATTTTTTTTTTTTTTTTCACTTACCAGCAACCTTGAAGACTCTGTTAGTGTTATCTGACAGCACCTGAGTACAGTTCTGTGAGAGCTTTAGCTATGATAGAATAATTGTAGAGTATAGGAGAT